ATAGTTAACGGTTTCAATGTAACTACATATGTTTTTTATAGTTAACGGTTTCAATGTAACTACATATGTTTTTTATAGTTAACGAGTTTTAATGTAACTACATATGTGTTTTATAGTTAACGGCTTTTAATGTAACTACATATTGTTAATAGTTAAGGGTTTTAATGTATCTACATACACTGTAAATAGTTAACGGGATTCAATGTAACTACATATGCTGTTAATAGTTAACGGCTTTTAATGTAACTACATATACTGTTAATAGTTAAGGGTTTTAATGTAATTGCACATATTGTTAATAGTTAAAGGGGTTTAATGTAACTACATATACTGTTAATAGTTAAGGGTTTTAAGTAACTACACATACTGTTAATAGTTAAAGGGTTTTAATGTAACTACATACATTGTAAATAGTTAACGGGTTTCAATGTAACTACATATGTTTTTTATAGTTAACGGTTTCAATGTAACTACATATGTTTTTTATAGTTAACGGTTTCAATGTAACTACATATACTGTTAATAGTTAAGGGTTTTAAGTAACTACACATACTGTTAATAGTTAAAGGGTTTTAATGTAACTACATACATTGTAAATAGTTAACGGGTTTCAATGTAACTACATATGTTTTTATAGTTAACGGTTTCAATGTAACTACATGTGTTTTTATAGTTAACGGTTTCAATGTAACTACATGTACCGTTTATACTTATCATACTTGAATGTTAGTATTTAGAATAGTTAACGGTTTTAATGTAACTACATATGCTATTACTAGTTAACTAGTTTTAATGTAACCACATATACTGTTAATAGTTAACGGGTTTGAATGTAACTGCATATACTGTTAATAGTTAACGGTTTTAATGTAACTACATATACCATTACTAGTTAACGTTTTAATGTAACTACATATACCATTACTAGTTAACTAGTTTTAATGTAACTACATATACCATTACTAGTTAACTAGTTTTAATGGAACTACATATACTGTTAATAGTTCACGGGTGTTAATGTAACTACATACACAGTTATCATGAAAGATGTATTAGATGCCATGCTTCTGGATAAAACGACCATTAACATAAACATCTCCCTCTTAACGTCGAATTAGAATTTTAAGATGAGCCAGAGAATAAAAACTATATAATTTTCCTGTCTTTCTTACCAAGTGTCGATTTCTTCTTGAGTATATTCAACTCTTGGGATTGGTTGTCCACTGGGGGAAAGAAAGGAAAAATCTTTAAGAAAAAACACTTCTCCATGTTACTTATCATACTTGAATGTTAGTATTTAGAATATATTTCCTTTTATACGTTGCCACAGTTTCGGAATCAGTTTTGGAGTTTCCAGTTATGAAACATAGCAGTCTAAGCATCCATACGTCTGTATTTCTGTTACCAACATCTAAAGACGATGGTTGGTATTATACAATAATTATCGTGATATTAATGTTCCCATTAGTTTCAGGAATGGATTGACTACTTTACCTGTCTGAAAATCATCAATATGAAATGTATTTCTTGTTATCAGTTTGCTCAGTCTAAATAGTACTTGTGTGAGACGAATTTCCTGTTATTTCAATAAAGGTCGTTAATTATTCGAGAAACACTAATATGAGAAAGGGCGTGACCTAATAATTAGTATGTCTAGATTGTAAATTCGAGGGTTCGTGGTTCGCAGCTCATTGTTACAAAAATTTACCCCGCACTTTGGGGCTATGGGTGCGTTGTGAGAGTGACGTTTAAATCCAAATGTTTGATCAGTAAAAAGAAGATCAATTTATGGCATAGGGTGTTATTGACCAGCTACTTTCCATCTGGTTTGTGTAGTTTGGTACTAAATTCTTAAACAACATACAAATAGTAATGTTGTAAAGGATTCCTCTTCTGGATACTACTCTTATGGGATAGAAATTCTCTCAGCACCATGGGATTTAGTTCCTTTTATTGTCTTCACAATCTGAGAGTTAGCGCCATAAGGTGTAGGATTATATGTTATTAACCAGACTAGTTATCAATAACTAGATTAAATATTAGTAATTAGATTAGGTATTAGTAACTATGTTAGTTGTTATAACCAGATTATGGGTTATTAACCAGACTAGTTATCAATAACTAGATTAAATATTAGTAATTAGATTAGGTATTAGTAACTATGTTAGTTGTTATAACCAGATTATGTGTTATTAACCAGACTAGTTATCAATAACTAGATTATATATTAGTAATTAGATTAGGTATTAGTAACTATGTTAGTTGTTATAACCAGATTATATGTTACTAACCAGATTCGTTATTAGTAACTAGATTAAATATTAGTAATTAGATTAGATATTAGTAACTATGTTAGTTGTTATAACCAGATTATGTGTTACTAACCAGATTAGTTATTAGTAACTAGATTAGGTGTTAGTAACCAGATTAAGTACAAGCAACTAGATTAGGTGTTAGTAAACAGTTTACTTATCACTAATCAGTTTTGATAACCAGAAGAAGAAATAATAACCAACTTAGATGATATTATCTAGTCTGAGAATATTAAGTATTATTAAGAACAAGTTTAGGTGTTATTAATGAAGTTAAGTATTATCACTATAATGGAATTTCATCTAATATTTTTTTCCCAGTCCTAATAACACGAGTTGTATGTGTTCTATTACCAATCGCCTCAGTCTCAGTTGCTGAAAGAGAAGACTGTTATCAAATGACAACGAATTGAGTTTACTGAGTCGAAAACTTATATTATAGTTTAAACCCATAAAACGCACATTACTTTATACCAAGAATAATGGGTGAATAACAGATCCCACTTTCTTGCATTTTAAAACATTTCGGAAGAATTTATCAGTTAAACTCCACGTTGAAGTCTTTTTTCGACCATTTAAGCTTAACATATAAGCTTCTCAGTAAATCTGAAACACGTTAACTTCTTGACTTCATGGACGTTCAGAGGTACTGAAATAAAAATTGTTTTATTGGCTCACCTTCAGTATCATACATTACTTTATCTACTGTGGAATGATTACTTTATGATTACAAGTGCATAAGAAGTCTAAGCTTGTACAAAAATAAGATAACGAGATGAAAATCTAATGATGTTTTCATTAACTTTTAGAACAACCACACTGAGAAAACTTGTGGCAATGTTTATACACATTAAATGATTGGTAACATATTTTCAAAAATCTACGTCCAATCTGTTATCCTTGCCATTTTTCACGAGTGAGTCTTTAAATCATTCTAATATACTTTCTATGTGACTCTGTGTTTTATCTAATGATGTAATTATTACAGTTTTCATGAAACAGTAGAGTTTTTATGTGACTCTGTGCTTATCTAATGATGTAATTATTATAGTTTTCATGAAACAGTAGAGTTTCTATGTGACTCTGTGTTTTATCTAATGATGTATTGTTACAGTTTTCATGAAACAGTAGAGTTTCTATGTGACTCTGTGTTTTATCTAATGATGTAATTATTACAGTTTTCATGAAACAGTAGAATTTCTATGTGACTCTGTGTTTTATCTAATGATGTAATTATTACAGTTTTCATGAAACAGTAGAGTTTCTATGTGACTCTGTGTTTTATCTAATGATGTACTTGTTACAGTTTTCATGAAACAGTAGAGTTTCTATGTGTGTTTTATCTAATGATGTAATTATTACAGTTTTCATGAAACAGTAGAGTTTCTATGTGTGTTTATCTAATGATGTAATTGTTACAGTTTTCATGAAACAGTAGAGTAACAAAAAGTAATTAGTTGCAATTTTAATGACATTCTACTGAGAAGAAAAAATTGACATGTAAATATATTTTTGATCAACTATTCCATACTAACTGCTGTAAAAGGGTGGCGAGCAGACTTTCTTTAAGTAACATCTCCCGATATATGTGTGTGGCAAACAGTAGATTAAACCATTAACATCTACTAATAACATGACAAGCTAGTACTAAATTGTGAAAAACATCACAGCTCGTGTTCTTTATCACCCAGAATTTATAAACAATAAAATTAATTCAAAAAAACAACGTTATTTCTTCTTAATATACTATGTTCTTACTTACTGTTTGTAAGACATTGCAATAACTGTGAAGTTTTTACGTCTTTCTCTGTAAGTGTTGTCTTTGAAACCCTGTAAAAAAAATGGATATCTTACTCGGTTACTCTGAGTTCTTTTTTTCTCTCTAAGAATAGCTTCTCAAACAGTTGAACACTTAGAACATTAAAAACATTTAGAAATTAAATATTAAGCCAATATTGAAACACCAAACACTGCTCATAATATACTCCGCTTGCAAACAAAACCAATGTGGATAATTTAATGTTTCACGGTTTCAGAAAGTTTGATATGATTTTGATTTCCTTGTATCCGTACTTAAAACTGCTACTGTTTATTTTTTAAATATATAACGATAATCTAACGATTTTTTTCACTAAAGTATACAATATTGAACTTCTTGTAACTATTGATTGTCATGTATTAATTTGTAAATTGTTGCTTTCTATCACACTGCGATATTTTGTTATTTAAACATTTGTAGTTTATTCTTTATAATTATCTGTTATAACTTTGACCGACTGGTGTCATGTTTTTAGTATTGTGATTGAATAGTCAGATTCTTCTGTAAGAGAAAATAACAACAGGCCTAAGACAGAAGGTTTGCAATCATCAATTGCATCAAACAACAATAAAATATAATGTAAATATAGTTTTAACAATTGTAGGTTCTTTTAAACATGTTATAGATCAGAAACAATAGCAAAGAAGTCACATTGTGTAACACATCCGTTGATGGTAATATTTTTCAAAGTTGTGCTTTAACACAGCAGATATAGGGAAGATGGCATGACATGATTGGAAAAGGTAATCTGTAGAGTATGGAATTTAAACTTGCAAGGGATGCTGTGCATTTCGAGATGTTAATGTATAACAAGTTTTAAGTATGTGTTCCTTGGAAGAATTGGTCTCCCATAACACTTCGAAGGTGTAAAATGGGTGTGGAAATGTCAAGATATACAACACTAAGAGTATCCACATTTAACATCATCTATAAAAATACCCAATAACGTCAGCAGCCTGGATTAGCGTTGCTTCTAACAACATTCACATTCAGAGAGAACCTTCCCGACTCTAGGTGTCACAATGTCTGCCACGTCTTTCTCTATATGAGAGAAACAAGAATCTGGTGTTATTTCTCGTCTGGCTGATTGGGTTTTGAGAGCTAGCTCCACAATGTTCCGTAAGCCTATTTCTGCTACAATGTCTGAATTTTACATACCTCCGAAAACCACAATCTTATTTAAACCATCATCTCAAACAACCAAAGTCGTAAACAACTCTTAGACACTCATTTCAGTCCTGTTTCTTCATAAAAATGGTAACAACCTATTGCTGATAAAACTCCAATCATATGTGGCGTGATATGGACCTGATATGACACAGCGTCAGTCGATCAACCAATATGTGGCTGGTATTGTCATTATCAGCCAGGAACGAAAAGCGTAAATGCTGTACTCATATCTTCTGTTATATAGTACTTAGGTTTTCATGTTTACCTTTCCAACATCATAGTTGCAGCATGTACTTGATGCAACTGATCGGAACTGGGAATCCACTGACAAGAGTAATAAACATGATGTAAATAATTAAGTAATGATGCTGAATATTCATCTGAATATTAGGCAGATTATATTCTGATATTTTATCGAAAGAGTCACTATAATGTCATATGATGACATTAATGGCTCCATCTCTAATTATGTGAGCTGGTTATTTAATTTGTTGATAAATACGTAACATTTCCTATTGTATTTTTAAATCAATTAACACAAAAAAACATTTCTGGTTAACATATAGATCTAATAAGTTATTGGCCACCATCAAAGAGAATTGTTATGAGTCATGTTTAGCAGCAGAGTTAATAGGCAAGAAATGCTTTGAGATCTTGATAAGAATGTAAAGCTCCTTGCTTAGTTGTCTTAGCCAGAAGTACAAAAAAAAACGAACATTCTTGGGAACGTGATCAATTCATCAACAGCATACAATACGAAGAGATGCTTCTATACTTATAGAAAAAAGGCTAAATAAAGAACATGACAAATATAAAGGAAATAATCATGACACTGTACAAAATATTATCTGTACACCATTCAGTCTCCCCATAGCTTTATGGTTTGCCTGAGATACATAAACCTAACAAACCCATGCGATCTATTGTATCTTACATAGGTTCCCCAGTTTTAAAAACAGCCAAATTTATTTCTAGCGTGCTAAGACCTCTAACAATAGATCCGACTTATTCAATTAGAAACCACGATAATTCATCAACCACATTTCTGATCAAATAATATCCAAAGACAACATCGCGGTTAACCTCGACGTAGTTTCACTTTTCACCAAGATACCTGCTAAAGATACTATGGAAATAATACACAAACAATTAAGTGACGACATCTCACTTCCAACAAGAACGTTCATCAGTATCCCAAACATCATGATCTTGCTGGACATCTGTCTCGATGCAAATTACTTCCATTGGAATGTATGAATTTACTATATGTTAGACGGTACTCCAATGGATTAACTTTTATCACCTGCAGTAGTAAAAATATTCATGCAGCATTTTGAACACACCATTTTAACACTATATCTTCATCAACCTTGTATGTGTCTACGATACGTTTATTTTATGGATCTATGGAAAGGGAGAGCGCAAAATATTTTATGCTCATCTGAACAGTCAATTTGACAGCATACAATTTTCCATAGAACTTGAAGTCGATAACACTCTTCCATTCCTCGATGTTCTGGTTCACAAGGACACAAGTTTGGAGAAGTTGACCAATACCGTTAATCGGAAGAAGACTCAAACAAATAAATATATGAATTTTGGCTCATCCCATACAATATCTGTTGAAACTGGAATTATCAAAACAATAAATTTAGAGCTACAAGTATATGCTCCTCGTTTTACCTAGATGAAGAACTTAAACATCTTGAGAACATTTTTCAAGAATAACGATTATCCAAATAAAACGATTCAACGTGTGTTATATTGTTCATCTGTCTCAACTACTAATGAACCACAACCTGAAAATCACAATAAAAAGAAAAATACATTTCCTCCTTACATACCAGGCTTAGGAGAAAAAACTTCGTTGGATAATCAATAAACCTAACATCACCTTAGGTTTCTTAAGCTCTTCTACACTACGCGACAGTCCTACGAAGGTTTTGTTTGTTTGTTTGAAATTAAGCACAAAGCAACACAATGGAATATCTGTGCTCTGCCCACCACGGGTATCGAAACCCGGTTTATAGCGTTGTAAATCTGCAGACATACCGCTGTGCCACAAGGTAAAATCCCCACTTCCCTGTCCTCTCACAAAGAACGTGGTTTATAGCCCTCGGTGTGAGTGTAATAAACAATACATTGGGAAAACAAAACGACTCTTAAACAGGTAAGGTTCAAAAAACACCAAAGAGATATTAAGAACTGTGTTATAAACACATTAGCTATAGCTTTTCGCGTTCAGGAAGACGACCATATAATAGACCTAAAAATGCCAAGATAATAAACAGAGAAGAAATCACCAAACGTAGAACAATCAAGGAAGCTATTGCCATCCAAGCACAGGACAGTGAATCACTAATCAAAACAACAGCCAACAACTACTCAATACTGCATGGACACCACTAATAAAAGACATAATGCATATTATATGTCGTGGTTTCGATGTAAAATTAAACCTTTAATTTTACAATGTACTATTTGAAGTTGAAAAATTCCTTTATTTATTTATTTTTATTTTTGTATTTCTCTATATATAATGCCTATAATTATATCTTTCTCATGTTTATTATATCGAAGCAATCGATTTATATTCTATATTCATCATAATTCTATATGTTTAATAATCTTAATACCAGATGTCAATTATTGTTACGACTGTTGCCTAGATGCCTATTTTAAAACAGTGTTCCACAGTTTAACGAATTGTTATCGCTCAGCATATTGTTGCCCGATGAAGGTTCCGATAAAAGGGCCGAAAGCTCGCAAATATGGGTATTTTAACGTAGAGAAAATTCCGTGTATAATTCTAAATTGTCAATAAGTACATTGAGTCATGAAGTACTCATAGGAATTCACTCCGATCAAGGCTTGAACTTTAACTCAGTACTGCTTACCGAAATGCGCCAAGCCTTAGATAAAAAGAAAAACTAACACAACGGTTCTCTATCCTTCTTCTGAGTTACTGTTACAACAGTACAACCACTCGCTATCAAAACAGTTAGGCTTGTATATGAACGAAAGATGTACTTCTTTTGCTAAAGAACTACGAAATCAAATTAAAACTAAGCCGTTAATTACATATCTGATCTCTCCATATTTTGTCTGAATAAAATGTTCCGTTATATTTCTTATATGATCGTTCTGAGAGTGAGGAGGGTTCCGTTGGATCTACCTCTGTGGTCGATCTGAGGATGAAGATTAATCCAGATACATTTGCATTTACTCCATCTTTTATTTCAAAGATACAGCTTACGTCAGCCAGTAATGAGATAAAGAGACATTATGACATCAAAAGTGAGAACTGCGTATTCTACTACATGAGGAAAAAAAGGGTACGTCCCTAAAGTAGCGCCAACATTGGTAAAGCAATAATAAAGAGGATAAATGATGTACCGTATTTAAAGAAACAGGTTGTCAAGCCAAGAACCCTTCAAGTACATAACAATGTATATTATATATATATGAAGAAAGGATCATAACATTAGAACCTTAACGTGGTTTTGCTCTTTTTTATATCTACATTTTAGAAATTTGTTGTATGGGGTCAGTTTATGAAATTATTTTAAAAGCAGGACTTTTAAATTTTTGATTTAGTAGAACTGAATTCATAAATATTTTAAATAAAAATGTTATGATATTACTTTTAGAGAGGTTACTCAACGTAGTAGTAGTATCGTTATACAGCTTATACTACATATACTACAAACATATACAGATAAAAGGTTATCAAAGTGACATATTTGGTATATCAAAGAAATATATGCTAAAATAAAAAAAGAATATATCTTAATTTCTATGAGCAGTAAATTTGTATTCTTTTTTTTATAACAATAAGAAAAATTACTTTTTTGCTTTCCCGTAAATCTCTTATTCTGTATCACAAAAACCGAATATATATATAAATAGCTGTCATTTGATTCAATCAGTATTTAGTTGAACACTTTGGTTTAAATAGTAATATGTTGTTCGGTACAAATATAAAATTTAAAAAAGAATCCGAAATTATTCAAGTATTTTAAGTGATTTTCCAAAGCGTTCTGTTTTAATGAAATCTCAGTCTCAATTGATATACATTTAAGTTTCTTAACTGCATTAAAGAATGTGTCTTATTTCATTAAACCCAAGCACGTGGAAATGTACGTTTCTTGTAGGTGATCTGAAGCATTCTAGAGTATAACTCATTACACTTACTGGGTGATCAGCATCAAGTTCTGTTCCGTACATCAACACTCTGTTTGAAGTCTTGTCCAAATCGGACAGTTTCCTTGGAAACCATGGCATCCCATCGAACTCTGTTACAGATAATGAAAATACTCTTTTATTAGCAGTAATCGCGGTAAGACAAAAATTAGTTCAAATACTACAACTTCTTTCGTTGGAGAAAAATGCAGAAATGGAAATCATGTTAATAAGAATGGAGTTTATTTCAAAATCAAAACTTTGCACTGAGTTCCTCAGTCAATATCTACAAGAAACTAATTGAGTGAATTTTGTAACTGAAACTATGAAGTACAGTTTACTGGAAGACCTTGAAACGTGAGGAAATCAGTAGCATTCTCGAAACGAACACATTTAATGTTAGTATAGACCAAGAAGAAACATTAAATACTGTTATAAGTTCAGTTGCTTATAGTATAAGAAATATAATATATGTTTGTTGAAAACCTTTT